CTGTATATATATATATAATATACAAAATTATATTATAATAATAAAAATAATATAATAATATTTTGATTGTAAATTACAATATATATATATATTTTTTTTTTACTTTTTAACCATCTTTTTGGCAATTTCAATTTAAAAGTTATAATGCAATTTTGGTTTGCTAAAAAAAAATAATTGACAAAATAAGAAATTTCACTATTGTAATATTTCACTGTAAAATAAAAAGATATTTAAGAAAAATATATACAATACTTCTTTTTTGTTTGTTTGTTTTTTGGCTCTCTTAATTTCTTTATTTTCAAACCATCTTTTTGATAATTGCAATAAGCCATATTGCGATTTCGATATAATAAATAAAACATATTAGAAATATTATTTTCGTAATTTTTCACTGTAAAATAAAAAATTGTGTGTTTAAAAAAAATAATTAAATAAGAATCATAGTAATAATTTTATTTTTTAATTGCTTATTTCATTTTCAAACCATATTTTTTGATAATTGCACTTTTGGTTTACTAAATAAATATAAATAAAAACAAATTATGTAAATAAAAAACAAGATAAGAAATATTACTATTGTAATATTTCATTGTAAAATAAAAAAAATCAAGCATTTAAGAAAAATATAATAATAATTATTATTATTATTTTATTTTAAATTACAAAACAAATATTTTTTGGCAGTCTTTATTTATTTTCAAACAATGTTTTTGATTTTTCGATTTCGTTTTTATTTCAATCAATCGTGCAGTCCCAGATACTAGTTTACCCACTGGGCTTCTTAAATAAAATATATTCAAATCAAAAAGTATTCTCAAAATATACATTTGATCAGTTATCTGTGTTTTCTGGAAGTTGAATCTATGACCTTGGCATTACTCATTGAACACAATTTAACTAGCTTAACCATCCGAGCATGCTGGTCAGCTCCCTTCATTAGATGCATTGAGCATGTCTAAACTAGCTCTTAACCAGCTGGTTCCACGTGTTAAACTGCAGCCTGATGCTCATCCGCAGGTGGAGTCAGTTCCGCGACCTGGTGGACCAGAAGAAAGAGTCCCTCAACTCGGCTTTGGGCGTGCAGAACTACCACCTGGACTGTAACGAGACCAAATCCTGGATCCGCGAGAAGACCAAAGTCATCGAGTCCACCCAGGAGCTGGGCAACGACCTGACGGGCGTAATGGCCCTCCAGCGCAAGCTCACCGGCATGGAGCGCGATCTGGCCGCCATCGAAGCCAAACTGGGCGACCTCCGCGGCGAGGCGGAGCGCTTGGCCGGCGAACACCCCGACCAGGCCAAAGCCATCACGGGACGGCTGGCCGAGATCACCGCCGTATGGGAGGAGATGAAAGAAACCCTACGAAACCGAGAGGCGTCTCTCGGGGAAGCCAGCAAGCTGCAGCAGTTCCTCCGAGAGCTGGACGATTTCCAGTCCTGGCTTTCCCGCACGCAGACGGCCATCGCGTCCGAGGACATGCCCAACACGCTAGCCGAGGCCGAGAAGCTTCTGGCCCAACACGAAGGCATCAAGAACGAGATTAACAACTACGAAGAGGACTACCAGAAGATGAGGGACATGGGCGAGATGGTGACGCAGGGGCAAACGGACGCTCAGTACATGTTCCTGAGACAGAGGCTCCAGGCTCTGGATACCGGATGGAACGAGCTTCATAAGATGTGGGAGAACCGGCAGAACCTTCTGTCGCAGTCTCACGCCTATCAGATCTTCCTCAGAGACACCAAACAAGCCGAGGCCTTCCTCAACAACCAGGTAAGTTGCTTGAACACCAGTATACTCTTGAAAATATGGCATTGATGGTTCCATGAGGAACTTTTAACATCCAAGATTCTTTAGATTCTTTAGTTGAAAAAGTTCTTTAGATTATTAAAATGTTCTTCACACTAAGAAAAAAAATTGTACTTTTCGGAACGGTTCACTGAAACGTTCTTTGGGAAACCCAAAAATGGTTCTTCTATGGCATCACTGCAAACAAAATAAGAAATATTACTATTGTAATTAAAATGTTAAATGATTTTAAATATTTTAAATGACTATACTCTTTTTTTTTTTCTTCTTTTTTTTTTCTCAGTCTTAATTTTTTTCATTTTCAACCATTTTAATTACAATTGTACTAAGCCATATTGCGAAATTGTTTACTAAATAAACGTTCAAAAAGTTTACTAAATAAAAATATTAAACAAAATAAGAAATTTTACTATTGTAATATTTTACAATAAAATGAAAAATTACGCTTAGCCATATTGTAATTGTAATATTTCACAGTAAAATAAAAATGAAGTATTTAAGAAAAATAATTATAAAAATAGTTTTATTTTAAATTACAATACTAATATTTTTTCCCCTCTCTTAATTTTTTCATTTTCAAACCATCTTTTTGTTAATTGCACTAAGCCATATTGTGATTTTAGTTTACTAAATAAAAATGTTAAACAAAATGAAAAATAAATAAATAAATAAAAGATATAAAAAAAATAAGAAAAAATGGTTCTTTTAAGAACTGTTCACTGAAAGGTTCTTTGAGGAACCAAAAATGGTTCTTTTATAGCTATGACAACCCCCCTTTTGGACCCTTTATTTTTAAGAGTTTAAACATCCTGTTTGAGCTTCACCTGAGTGATTTATTCTCTATCTTTCTGTAGGAGTATGTTCTGGCTCATACCGAGATGCCCACCACCCTTGAAGGAGCAGAAGCTGCCATTAAGAAACAGGAGGACTTCATGACCACCATGGACGCCAATGAGGACAAGATCAACGGAGTGGTGGAGGCCGGAAGGAGACTGGCCAGTGACGGAAACATCAATGCTGACCGCATCCAGGAGAAAGCAGCCTCCATCGATGACCGGTAACAAAACACATGCACTTAAACAAGTCAAAGTGAACAGATAAAAACAGATAAAAGAGTCGGATTGACCTGCAAGCTTTAACCTGCAGGCATAAGAAGAACCGTGAGGCGGCCGTGGAGCTGCTCATGAGGCTGAAGGACAACAGAGACCTGCAGAAGTTCTTGCAGGACTGCCAGGAGGTGAGCGGACCCTGTTATTCTAGTCTCAGTGAGATACTATTATAGTTTGTATTCATATTTTGAACAAGTATTTATTTTATATTTTCATTTAATTCTGTTGTGTGTTTTTGGCATTTTTCGTATTAGTTTTAATAGTTTTATTATTTTTATTATTAGTTTTAGTTATTTTAGTACATCACGTTAAACTAAATTAAAATGAGAAATGTTGCCGTGGCAACTAGCTGAAATGTATTTTTATGTTTTTTTTAATAATTTTTTGTTTTATTTTTTAGTTAACTATAATAACCCTGATATGATCTGGATACTGTTATTGTTTTTAATTATATTTTGAATAATTTTTAAGTATATATTTTCTATTTTCATTTAAAGTTTAAGTAATCTTGTTGTTTGGATTTTTTATTTATTTATTTATTTAATTATTATTATTATTTTTAAATATGTCTGTATCATTTCTTATTTTATTATTATTATTTTTTTGTTATTTTAGTACATCACGTGAAACTAAATTAATATGAGAAATGTTGCTGACAACTACCTGAAATTAAAAAAAAAAAAAAAATTATTTTATTTAACATTTACTTATTTCAAGTAACAAAAATGCATTTATATAGTTTCAGTTTTAGTTAGTTTCACATGCTGAAAAATAAGGCAAATCCAATAGAAGCACATCTTAGCTTGACTGTTTTGCGTCCTCTGCTCAGCTGTCCCTGTGGATCAATGAGAAGATGCTGACAGCACAGGACATGTCCTACGATGAGGCTCGCAACCTGCACAGCAAATGGCTCAAACACCAGGCCTTCATGGCCGAACTACAGTCCAACAAAGAATGGCTGGACAAAATCGAGAAGGTCAGTTATCAGTGCATTTCATTTAATAGCATTCAATGTACATCTTAAATTGTACTATCTTTTTTTTTGCAATATTACCAGTGTGAAAATCAAATAAGTAAATAAGTGTTATACTAGACAGAATCCATAATCCTGCCTTGAAAACATTATGCATTCAGTCATTCCTTAAAGTATTGTGTGTTATAGCATTAATATTTAGACAATATGCCTCATAAGACATGATTTAATCAGGAAGGGAAATTGCATTGTTGTTTTGTGAGATAATGATTTTTGGCTTGGTTTCTAAAACAGTCTTTAATCAGGATTTGAAGTGTTATACTTAGAACAAGAAGAAATATCTGCCAATGGGCTAATACAAATAAACGTAATTTAAAGGGGTCTTATTATGCTCTTTTTCAAAGTCTTGATTTTGTTTTGGGGGTGTACTAGAACACACTCTAAAAAATGCTGGGTTGTTTCAACCCAACTTTGGGTCAAATATGGACTAACCCAACTTTTGGGTTAAAAATTTAATGTAAAAATTTAACCCAACAGCTGGGTTAGTCCATATTTGACCCA